AACGGTCTCCGCCCTGCAAAGACCTGGGGGAGGCAGCCAGGTGCCGCCCTGTGACAGCCACTGCATGTCCCCATCCTAGGCGCCGCCAGCTAGCCCGCGGTGCTGTTCCCACTGCCCTGCCTCTTGGCTGTCCGGGTCCCCTCGTCTTTGCTGTCAGCCTGCCGGTCACCTCCCCAGGCCAGCTCATCCACTTCCCTGGCTTAGCGGCCACTGCACCCCGACAGCTCCCAATCCCAGCCCTGACCCCCTCTGAGTTAGAGGTCACCCCTGTAAGCCCTGGTGGCTCAGAGGCCCCGGCAGAGGGCAGCACACAGCAGCTGGGCACTGCGGCTCCCCTAACTCCCCTACCAGCCACTCTCTCAAGCCCAGGGTCAGCTGGGAGTCATGGTGGATGCCTCTTTCTCTCTCAGCCCCACATCCAGGCCCTCTCCAAGTCCTACACTAGACCTCCCAATCTCTCTCTTCCATCCATTCCCCTCACCTCCCTGCCTATGCCACTGCCCTCATGTCTCAGGCCCTCATCACCTCCCACCTGGACCATCACAACCTTGGGGCGGGGCTACTGGCCTCCAGCCTCGCACCCTCTTCCAGTCCTCTGTCTATCCACCCATCTATTCATGTATCAACATCCACCCACTTATCTATCCGTTCATCCATTCGTCTGCCTGTCCTCCCTCCCCGCTCCCTCCATCCAGCATCCATCCCTCCATTCACAGGTACCTGCTGTAGGTCACACCCTGTGTCAGGTCCTGCTGGGGTCTTCCTGTACTCACGCAACTGTACAGTGTGGAGGTTGACATTAACCTTCTGAGCCCTGAGCCCCCACTTGTAGGGGAAGAACAGAGAGAGGCTGGGCTTATGGGGAGAGGTGCCCCTCCCGATTCAGCCACACCCCTCTACACCCGTGCCTCCTATCTCCAAGCCATTGGGAAAGAGGCGTTGATGCTTCAACAAGAGTCCTTCTGGCCCCCACCAGCCTGTGGCCCCTCAGAATGGGTTTGCGGGTCACCTGCTCTCAGAGACAGACCCCAAGGGTCTCTTGCTCCTACTGAGTGGCCAGTCTCAGGAGAGAGGCCAGGTCCTTCTGCCCACCTTTGCCTCCCCCAGCCCTGCCCCTTGGCACAGTCAGAGAGAGAAGCCCTGGCGGGGGGGGTGGCCCTTGGTACGCCCACCCGCATGGGGGTGGGACTAAAGCCTCGACTGAGTCAGCATGAGGCACACACACCCCTTCCCCACCTGGGAGACCCCACAAGGTGCCCTGGGGGACACTGGTGACAGCTCCTTTAATTCCGAGTTCTCCCCTCTGACCCTCCAGATGCCTGCCTCCCAGAGGGCAGGGACTCCCACCCACACCCCCACCCTGTGCCGAGCTGACATGGGTCCATCCATCCAGCTGCCAAAGTCAACCTCCTTCCCACCCCTGGTGTTGGGGCCCTGAGAGCAGCACCTGCACCTGTGAGGGGGAGCGCTGACCCTGCTGGGCTCCTGGCTTCCGCTCCATGCACGTTCGTCCCTCCTTCCACCTGTGGGCAGGGGCGGAGGCCCCCTCAGGCAGCGGCTTTCTGAGGCCCAGGCCCAGGGGTGGGGTCCGGCTCAGCCTTGAAGGGATAACCCGGCTGTGCTCCCTCCCCTTCCCGTCTCAGTATGCTTTTCCTTCTTTCTCCTTTATGCTGTTCCTTCTGGGGCGCCATCCCCAACCCTGGTCCCAGTGTCCAGTGCTGCTCACATCCATGCTGCCAGTAGACAATTAGGGCACTGGGTCGGGCCGGCCCTGGTCCTGCTGGCCCTGCACTGGGGACACCCTCCAGGGTTAGTCCCGTGGAGGCTGCGGGAGGCTGGGGCCCAGGAGGGGAGACAGGGAGAGCCACTCCTCCCAAGGTGCTCAGGAAACCTTGGCCGAGGAAGAGGCCCTGAGCTGATCCCCAAGGCCAAGTTCACCAGATACAGGTGGGAGGAAGGGCACGCTGGGCGGAGGGCACAGCCTCGGCAAAGGTGTGGAGGGTCCCCACGCACGGGTCTGGGCAGGCTAAGCAGCCAGATTTGGCAGGAGCCGAAGGGGAGGGGGCATTGCGAAGAAGAAGCTGTCCCTGGGACCCTGGCCCCATGTCCGCGTGGCCCCCCGGCCACTGACCGAGGCATCTTGCCCAAACCCGCAGGAGAACTACAACGCGGAGTGCGAGTTTGTGGAGCGGATCCACGAGCTGGGCTATAACACGTATGCCTCCCGGCTCTACCGGACGGTGCCCAGCGGGCCGGGGGCCCGGCGCCAGCCCAGCGCCGAGAGACTGTGGTATGTGTCGGTCAACGGCAAGGGCCGGCCCCGCAGGGGCTTCAAGACGCGCCGCACACAGAAGTCCTCACTGTTCCTGCCCCGCGTGCTTGACCACAAGGACCACGAGATGGTGCGGCTGCTCCAGAGCGGAGCCGGGCTCCATGGCGGCCTGGCCAGACCACCCGGCAAGGCCACCCAGCCCCAGCGGCGGCGACAGCGGCAGAGGAGCTGGGGAGGCCTCGCTTAGCTGCCCGGCGGGTGGAGTGGAGGCCTCACCCATTGTGGCCCCATGGCTGGGCGCCAAGCTCACGGTGGACCAGCCAGTAGCTGAACATCTGCTGTCCATCATAGCTGGCCATCCCGGCCGGGCAGGTTTCCGTAAGTGACTGTCCCCGCTCCTGCTGACTCTCTCAAACAAGCACCAATCCAGCCGGGACGATGGGGCCGCTGGGACTCAGAGGGGAACTGCTGTGAAGAAGACACTCGTGGGTCTGTGCTGACCAGGGGCCCCCTCCCACCAGGGACCCCCACCGGCCGGGAAGACCAGCTGAATGCGGGGTCCTGGCTACCGAGGAGGCTCCCCGAGGTGCAGCTATGGGACAAGGCGGGGGGGTGTGTGTAATTGGAACATTAAAGTATTTTATTCTACCTTGTTCTTTAATAGATAATAAGGCAGGTTTTACATGAACATGTTTGCTTGTGAGGACAGCAGGGTCCGTGCCAAGTCGCTGCTTTGGGATGTAAGATTGTGCTGGGAAGCTGGGCTCCAGAGGCACCCAGTCCCCTGGCTCTGAATGCTGTTCCATCTGAAAGGTAAAAGGTGGACGGAAAGAAAGGTTAACACACCTGGGAGCCTGTGTGTGGGCAGCCCCCGTGAATTCGGGGACTGTCTGCGGACATCTGTGTGTGCACGCACGCGTGTAGGTGTGTCTGTGTGATCCTGGTTGTCTGTGAATGTATCGTGCACACATGTGAGAAAGAAAAAGAGAGGTGTGCTGTGTTTAAAATCCCAATAAAACCCTCCCTGGCAAGGACCACTGTGAGCGCCTGCGCAGTCAGGTGCGCTCGGGGACTCTGCTCGAAGCCCCCCTGGGCACCCATCATTTCTGCCTTTGCCTAGAGAGGCAGCATCTGCTGGAGTCCAGCAGGTGTGTGCGTGCCCACGTGCATAGCAGTGCTATTCCCATCAGACCAAGTCCATCCGTGAGCGAACAGATAAGCAGGACGTGGTCCACCCACACAATGGAATATTCCCCAGCTTTAAAAAGGAATCGAACTCTGACCTGCTACAAGGTGGGTGAACCTTGAGGACATTTTAAGTGAAATAAGCCAGTCACGAAGGACAAATCCTGTATGAGTCCACTCATAGGAGGTCCCTAGAGGAGTCAAGTTCATAGACGGGCTGGGGGGGGGCGGGGGGAGTGTGTCTTTAATTTGGACTGAGTGTCCGTTTGGGAAGATGAAGAAGTCCGGAGATGGATAGTGGTAACTGATGGTTGCACAACAAAAAAACCCACTGTAACATCTCGATTTCGGGAGTTGAATGCCTTCCACATAAAAGTAGAGATCGAAGCGTCAAAGGTGCTCAATAAACAGTGCTGAATAAAATAAAATAAAACACAGAAAACAGAGCCTCTCGGGAGTGGCCAGCCGCCGCCTCTGTCTTCGCACAGCTGACGAGGACAGGCGGCCAGGTGGGCCCCTCTGCTCGCCCTGACCTGGTCCACTCCCCACCTGTCCCCAGGAAAAGGCGGCCCGGCCCGCCTATGTGAAGCAGGACCCAGGGCCCAGCCCCTGAGCCCCAGCCCGGGCGGCCCTCTGATGGGGAAGGCGGACCGGCCCTGGGTGACCGAGCTTCAGCTGCTCTGAGCGGGCCTTTGAACCCCTCAGTGGGTTCAGAGGCCTCCTGCCTCCCTGGGGGTTGAAGGACCCGGAAAGATGAGCAAGCAGGTCTATAATTAGCGCCCACCCATCGGAGGGTGACCTTGCCGGGGTCACATTCCAGGGCCGAGCCAGATATAGCGCCTGGGGCTGACCCCGTCCCCGCCTCAGGCTGCAACAGCTGGACGACCAGGGCGGCCCACACGGAGCCCGAGTGGCCCACCGGGCTGCGGTCCACACCTCGGAACCGGATCTGGGGAGAGGGGCTGCCTGGTGGGAAGAGAGGCAGCCCAGTGCTGGACTCAGACACGGCCTCGGCTACTTCTGTTCTGTCACAATTGATCATGAGAGCCCAGGACCAGCCTCTGTCTCTCCCCAGCCTCAGTTTCCCCATCTGTCAATGGGTTCCCACAGTGGTCGCCAGGATCCGCTGAGAGACTCAGTCATGGAATGGTCCATAAATAATAGCTTTACAGCCAGGAGTGGGGGGAGGGCAGGCAGGTGCCTGTCCTGCGGTGCTCTCATCTGAGGAGCTTAAAGGTGGAGTGAAGGGAAAGTCATGGGGGCACACAGGGCATCCCAAGGGCACGCTGGGAGTTTCTGGGAAATCGCATGCCTTGGGAAGGTTAGTTTCAAGTCAGAGATTTCAAAAATTCATGTATTTTCATTGATAAAATAAATACATTTATCTGCTTTTTGTACAATTCAGAAGAATGGCACTGTAATTCTCCATCCATCCACCCATCCATCCATCCGTCCATCCATCCACCCAGCCAGCCATCCATCTACCATCCATCCACCCAGCCATCCATTCATCTGTCCAGCCATCCACCCAGCCATGCACTCCTCTACCCTCCACCAGACCTTCTGCTGGGCAGGTGGCTGCACAGGTAACGCAGCTTAGCCTGGCCTATGAGGAGCGTGCAGCCTCCTGGGGGCCAGGCACAGCTCAAAAAGCGCAGGTTGGGAGCACTGACCTGGAGAAAGTCAGGAAAAACTAGGACAGCTCCCAGTTAATGAGGACAAAGGGGACATCAGCAGTCAAGGCCCTGTTGTTTATTTTATTTTATTTTTAAAATACATTTGTCTTGCTGAGCCTTTTACATTATTAAGATGTTCACTCAAGCCAAAACCGGTTTGGCTCAGTGGATAGAGCGTCGGCCTGCGGACTGAAGGGTCCCAGGTTCGATTCCGGTCAAGGTCATGTACCTTGGTTACGGGCACATCCCCAGTGGGGGGCGTGCAGGAGGCAACTGATCGATCTCTCTCATCAATGTTTCTGGCTCTCTATCCCTCTCCCTTCTTCTCTGTGGGAAGTCAATAAAATATTTTAAAAAAATACATTTATCTTGATATCAGAGACGAAGGGAGAGGGAGAGCGAGAGGGCGATAGAAACATCAATGATGAGAAAGAATCATTGATCAGCTGCTTCCTACACAACCCCTACTGGTGATCGAAGCCCAAGCCTGGGCATGTGCCCTGACCGAGAATCGGACCATGACTTCCTGGTTCCCTGGTTGATAGGTTGGTGCTCAACCACTGAGTCACACTGGCTGGGCTCAAGACCCTGTTCTTGAGAACCAGTGCCTGTGGCCAGCCAGCCCCCATCCAGATGGCAATCTGACCACAACCTCATCTGCATTCAGAGCCGACCTGGAACGTGGGAAGATCCAGACTGAGGGCTGGGGACAGGGTGAGGGGAGATGGGGCAGAGAAAGAACTGGCTTTGTGGTGAGAGGTGTTTAGGATCACAGGCCTTGGAGCCAGGGTCTCCGTCAAGGCTGGTGCAGGTTCGATGGCCCCTCGCCCACCATGCCCTCAGAGAGCAGAGCTCCTCGCCAGGCCAGGCCGCACGTACCCAGCAAGGTGGACCTCCCGGCTCTCCCAGAAGGACAGGGCCCTCCCTGAGCCCCTGGGGCCGCTGGCTGAATGTGTGAAGAGGAGGGGCTGTCAGGGAAACCTGCCCTGGCTGTTCGGTCCTTCCTCTCTGACCTCCTCCCCCCACGCATCTCACCACAAGTGCATGTGAACGCTCAGGTTCTTGTCTCAGGAGAGCAGGCAGGTCCTCCAGGCACTCGGCCAGCCTCAGTGATTTTTCCAGGAGCAGCCTCTCCACCAGGCACCCCTGCCTCCCCCTCCCAAGTCCTGCTCTGCCCCAGGACCTCTGCACATGCCCCTACTGGGCCATTCTTCCCTCTGTTCTTCACCCGGCTGGCTGCTCCTCCACCTCCATTTCCCCCACCAATCGGGTCCCCTCTATTTTTCCTCACAATGCCTTGTTATTTTGTTCACAGATCCCTACAAGATCTATAATTATCTGGCTAATTGCACAGTCACTGCAGGCCCCCACCAATCACCCACCTTGGGGGGAGGCGGGGGAGGCACCTGGCCTATTTACCCTCCAAACCACATCTGCCTTTGGTTGAGGACTGCTCATAGAGACAGTCCCTCCTCGAATTCCGGGCCCACTCCCCTGGGGCAAAAATGGGCACTGGGGTGAGAAGCTCCGGGGCCCACGTGCACTGGACCGTGAGAGCCCCAGGATGTGGGCAGGCACGCGGAGGGCATCTGCTACATCTGCCATTACCTTTACAGGCTCAGAGAGATTAAACAGTTTTCTTAAGGTCTCACAGCCAAGGCGGGGTATGTCAGGGCTGGTCCCAAGGTCAATCGGGCTCCAGCACCCTGCATGGTACCCAGGACAGGCGGGACACGGGACAGGGGTGGTGGGGGGTGGTGCACAATGGGCAGCTGTTTCGGGAAACAGTCTGGCAGTTCTTCAACATGTTACCCAGCAATGCCACTCCTGGGCATATGCCCATGAGAATGGAAACCATGTCCACACAAACACCTGTGCACAAATGCTCACGGCAGCACCGTGCACAGTGGCCAGAGAGTGAAGACAACTGTCCATCAACTGGTGAGCAGAGCGACAGAGGGTTCCCTCCATGCAACACAACATTCCTTGGCCACAAACGCACAGATGTACCAGTGCATCCTGCAACATGGTGAACCCCGAAAACATCACTGAGGACGTCTGACACCCAAGGCCACATGCTTAATGATCCCGTTTTTATAAAATGTCCAGAATCGGGAAATCCATGGAGACAGAAAGGGGATTGACGTTTGCCAGGGGCTGCAGGGAGACTGACAATGGTGACGGGGCTCCTCTTTGGGGTGATGAGAATGTTCTAACACTGATATGATGCTGCTGTATGAGGCTCTGAATATAAACCCAATGAGTTGTGCACCCTCAGTGCGTGAATTGTATGGTCGGAAGATTATATCTCAATACATGTCATTGTCACAGCCGTGTCTGAAAGTCTTTCTTTGAGTGTGGAACTGGTTGCACTCCCTCTCCCCCTCCCCCACCCCAGGCTTTGGGGACAAGTGGGAGACAGGAGGTGGGGGCTGGGTCGTCCCAAAGGGTCTGGAAGGGCACCCCTGTCTGCAATACCCAGTCCTACCAGCAGATGGCACTGACCTCAGGGACAAGCCCCAGGTGGACCTCGCTGACTGAGGACCTGGTCTGCCCAGTCCAGGTGGGTGCTGGGTGGTGGCATGCTCACAGCGCCTGCTGGGTCACCTTGGGCCAGGCAGGTGGAGAGGAGCCGGCCATCAGTTCAGGACTGACTAAACCTGAGGGGACAGGACCATGACGACCAACCCAACATTTCCGCCTGGGCAGAGGGCTCTCTCCCAGGCACAGGGGCCTGAGCGGGGCAAGGAGCAGGCCATGG